TGAAATATCCCAAGAAATAATTTGTAATCCCAACAGCTCTACTTTCAATTACCATAGAGCTGATTGGGAGCAATATCGCACATTTATGGAATATAACTTCGATCCAAACATTCCTTTGCAAACCAAAGATGAAATTAATTATGCTCTTGAATCTCTGACTACTTCTATAGTTGAAGCAAGAGCTGCCTCAGTACCAAAATGCGAGGTTAAATTCGATTCAATTATAATAGGCGGTGATCTTCAGCTCTTGATCCGTCTTAAGAATGTCCGCAGGAGACAATTTCAAAGAACACGCGATCCTGCCATGCAAGTTATCTGGCGGGATTTGCAAAAACAAATTAAAAAGCTATTCTCTGCCCTGAGGAACCAAACTTTTGAAAATAATGTTTCTAAATTAGACCCGAGTTCCAAACCCTTTTGGAAACCCACAAAAATTTTGAAAAAACCTCAAAAGCCAATTCCAGCGCTTAAAGAAGGTGGTAAAATTTTGATCACAAATTTGGAAAAAGCTCAGAAACTTGCTAAGCAATTCGAGAGTTACCATAATTTCAGTTTGGGTTTTACTAGTCCTATTGAGAATCAGGTTGCTCGGGATTTTCTGAATATTTTCCCTCGGGAAAATATTTTTGATGATTCCTGGGGGACTGATTTGGACGAAGTAAGGTCTATAACTAAAAAGTTTCAAAATATGAAAGCTCCAGGTGATGATGGAATTTTCTATATCCTCATCAAAAAACTCCCAGAGAGTACCTTGTTTCCATTTGGCATACTTTCCTGATAAATGGAAAAATGCAAAAGTTGTTCCAACTTTGAAGCCGGATAAAAATCCAGCTGATGCTTCTAGCTACCGCCCAATAAGTTTGCTTTCTTCAATAAGTAAACTTTTTGAAAAGATAATTTTGAATAGAATGATGCTTGACATCAATACGTACTCAATTTTTGCAGATGAGCAGTTTGGATTTCGCCATGGGCATTCAACTACTCATCAAATCTTAAGAGTTACCAATTTAATTCGTTCAAACAAATCTGAAGGCCACTCAACTGGAGTTGCTCTTCTAGACATAGGAAAAGCATTCGACAGTGTTTGGCATGAAGGTTTGATTGCTAAATTGAAAAAGTTTAATTTTCCACTTTATATTATGAAATTAGTTCAAAATTATTTAACTGACAGAACTCTGGAGGTAAATTATCAAAATTCCAAATCTAATCGACTACCTGTTAGAGCAGGAGTTCCTCAGGGCAGCATTCTTGGGCCTATATTGTATAACATTTTCACTTCGGACCTCCCTGATTTGCCTCAGGGTTGCCACAAATCTTTGTTCACTGATGACACAGGCTTTTCCGCTAAAGGAAGAAGTCTTCGTGTTATTTGCAGCAGACTGCAGAAAAGTTTAGATATTTTCTACCGAAGTACATAGAATTTCGAATGTTGAGACTTTAGAACAAATGTCCAACAAAATAATTACGAATTTCAGGCAAAAATCGTTGCAATCCTCAATTGCAACCATATTATAACCAAACGTTTGATTTGAGAAAAGTCACTGTATTCTATTTTGCATCGTTCTACAAACAAGCTGTAACGTGCATAATGATGATGCATGATAATTTTATGTTAGGATTGTCCTCCAAATTGGAGAATAAAGAGGTGCAAACCCCTACTTCGCTGACTTATGAACCAACATTTTGTTGTCTATTTAAAGTACAGTTTTCTGGTAGGGAAAACAACTGCTTGATGCGTTATCAAAAGATGCAACCTTACTCTCTTCTCTTCTCCAGAGACCTAATTTAAGACTAATGATAGAGCTACTGAAAAAATAACGTATTTTTTGGGAATCGTTTCATCCCACAATATGCATGGCGTTTTGTGTACTATACTGAGGTGCAAATAAACAAAAAATGGGTGACAAAATAGTGTCAGTTCCTTTTGTGGTCGATGGCGATGTCGACTTTAGTGCACATTGATCACAGCAAAATAGCTCAACATTGATCAGCCCAATGTAGTTCTGTGGGGAAAATTCTGACATTACATTACATTCCATTACATTAAATTTAAATGCATTATCTCATGCGTAAGATGAACGGTGGTCTGATTATGCTAGATGAATTGTCGCTAGTTTTGAACCATAACCGAAACATTGAAATACTTGAAAAATTTAAGATAAAGTATAATAGTCAAAAATGCATGACATATATCAATTTTCCGTAGTTCTACGTCATACAGCGGTCGTGTCTAGGACACAACCCTTTATTTTTTTTCCTTGATTTGCTTTCCGTCGATCTTGTTTTCCGTGCTGAGTACAGGTTCGGTACCTATCGACCCATCAACTCATGAACCGTGGACTAACGGCTTTACTTCCCTTCCGAATGAAGGTGTGATCAGAGATGTTATGCCTCAGAACATCCTGGCGGCGCTGACTGGGATTGAACCCAGGCCTGCTGGGGTGAGAGGTAATCACGTTTACCACTACACCACCGGTGCCGCTTAAATTAGATCTTATCGCTAATTAATTTAATTTCAATAGCTATATCCGTTCTGGGAAATCAAATAGCACACACAAAAATCAATGTTTGATGCAAGCTCAGGAGTTATTTAAAAATGTCTTTATTGACCGAAATATATTAACGTGTGGAATACCATTTCCTAATAATGAAACTTTTGTCCAGGATTCATCAAACCGGATATCTCATTCTTTTTAGAATGATCAGTTCATCTAAGATTTATTTTTGAACAATACTGATGGCGTATGACTATTGCGAAGGCGAAATGGGATTTTAGGCCAAATTTAGAATACTTATCCTTATATGTGTGCTTAAATGAAAAGGTAAGGTTCTAGTAAAAAACAAAGTTCCTCACATGCGATTTCGTATCACTGTTCAAAAAAGAACAAATCCAATATAAAACATAATTTTTGTGTTGGTGTACTCTAAAGTACTATTAAACGAGGCCGCATATTGTTTATTTCTTGAAAGTTATAAGGTTTCGTGTTCAAGTTACGTAACGTAATAGAATCTTTTTAAACTTTTAATTATTTATTTATTTATTTATTGCACTACTTAAAACTAAAACTTGTTTAATCCAAATCTCTTATGTTATTACTAAACATATATTTGGATATAGTAAAATCAAATTCGTTACAAACATCATTTAAAAAAGACGCAAACAGGAATTAAAAAAGTTAGCTATGTAGAATGGAATTGACAGTTACGGGGAGTTACGAAATCTGCGAGGAGGAATGTTCCATGGTTCGCTCGCAACTATTTTTGCAAAAAATTAACTGTTTTCGGCCGAAACTGATATCGAAAGTGTACCAAAATCCGTTTCTTTGCACGGGTGTGTTTGTTGTAACCAGCGGTGTGTAAGCATAGAGATAACTCTCTGGTGTTAGTGTGCTTGCTGAAGATCAATCGCACACGAAGTGTTTCTCGAAAATCCATTAATGGGTATAAAAATACCCATTTTCGCTAAAGTGCCCCTCCTCATATAATGGTTAAACTATGGTTTACTCATTAATGCGTAAATGGGAGGTCTGTCAATAAATGGGTGGTTTTTACCCATTTTCTTAAATTGTGTTTACCATAAAATGGGTAACAAATACCAATTTTTCTTCAAATGGAGAATTATATATAAAAAAAAACTTTCTAATACATTGAAGTGTTTTTTCACCCATTGATGGGTAAAAAATAGAACCATTATGCCACCGTGTACTGATTCTTTAAATGGGTATTTTTTCACCCATTTTATGATTTCAAAATTCCCCAATTTTTTGACAGCTTTGGCTTGAAAATGGTTTTTAATGGGTTTTCACGAAACACCGTAAAAGGCACGAGAAGATTCCCGGAGTGTCGAAACACACAACAGTGCAGTGATAAAAGCTTTTGCTTGTGTGCGTGTGGGAGAGAGCGAACTTAATGAAGGTCTAAGTGCTTTTTCGTAGCTTTTAGTTTTCGGCTTTGAAAGATCGTCACTTGCAGTGGCTTGCTTACTGAGCAGAAAAACACGGTCCCAGGAATATTATTAATTAAGAGATTTATGGTCAAATCACTTGTTTATCGTTCATTTCGCGAAACTTTTCGTCGTCGTCGTCGTCGTCGTCGTCGTCGTCGGTGCCGGGTTTAAATTGTTACAACAACTCGAATAGCGGTATGATGTGATATGAAGGGCTCGGTGGCCTTAGAGCGACCGTTTTTGCTTGCTGAGAAGAACATCGTGAGTCTAATCTCAAACCCATCCACATTCAAGATTTGTCAATCGTTTTATTTGTTACTTGTTATTACATGGTAATAACAGCAAATCGATGATTAAAAGGAGCTCGTTTGCCTAGTGGCAAACGTTTTTGCTTACTGAGCAGAAGACCGTGGGTTCAATCCCAAGCTTGTTCGCGTTATAAATATGATCGTTCAGATATTAATTCAGCTTATCGTTTACCAAAACGAATCCTGCTGCAAACCCAACCCTCTTATCCAACATCACGTGTCACGTCAACATATTCCTACCATTCCTTTCTTGACCTGTGTTCGGGTGTGGCCGGCGCTGGTATTGCCTAGTTTGAGATCACCAGTATTTACACATTGAGGATGATTGCTAGTACCAAGCATCATCTCTTGGTTCTCTGTGTAGCAACCGTGGGCGGTCAATCCTACTCATGCTCATGCTTCGATTTGCTCAAGATTGTCACAGTTAACTATCGAAATAGATTCACACTCCAGGTAGTTTTTGACCGCAATGAGTACACCACCGCCCCGCAAATGAGGACTGGTTAACTCATTGCGATTACAGCGGAAGAAAACGTAATCCGACGTACTGCTGGGTGGGGAGGGTGTGGTAAAAAATTTGTTTTTTTTTGCATTACGTCATTTTTGCACCGCACCTTAACTAAATTTATTCAACAAAACACGTATCTTGCAGCAATAAGATCTGTAAAAAAAGGATATTTTTAAGTTTAATTTAAATTCACCACAATTCATTTTATGAGTTTCAATCAATTTTTTTCTCTTTGCAGTGTAAAACAGGTAAAGATTCTTCTATGTCTGATGGATCAGTTAGTATGATGTCCATGAGTGGCCTATCACTCATTAGTGATGTCGATTCAAATTATGATACAATCACAGTATACAAAATGCCTGGTAAAACAACGTCAATCGACTATTGTAGACAGAAAAAGAAGTAAGTAGTTTCTGAAAACCTTGTTCAATAATATGAAGTATCACTCATTGATAAATACATTAAATACAAATTATTGTAAATACTTAAAAATAGATACAGCGGCGCCGGGTGTGTAATGGTAAGCGTGATTGCCTATCACCCCAGCAGGGGTTCAATCCCAGTCGGCGCCGCCCGTATGTTCTGAGGCATAACATCTCTGATCACGCCTTCCTTCGGAAGGGAAGTAAAGCCGTTGGTCCACGGTACATGAGATGATGAGTCGATAGGTAGGGTCCAGGTGTGGGAGCTGCCTCCCTGGCGTCGGTAGCATTGGTGCTCAGCACAGAAAACAAGATCGACGGAAAACAAATCAAGTAAAAAAAACACAGGAGACGGGTCCTGCGTGGTTAGTATCCATGCATTTCACGCTAAAGTTCAAATCTCATCACCGGATTAGTTACTAATTATATAATTAGCCCTGTAACGTGGGTAGATCACCTTTTGGTACGTTACGGGATGTAAGATCTACCACCGATTCCTAGTCCTGACTACTTCAAACTAGGGGAACAGGATTTTTCAGTAATCCAAGGAACAAATCTTAGTCCTTGTTACTTTTTATGCCTTGTTGATTGTGACAAGTCTCGGCTTTGTCTACCGAGGATGATCTTGAAACAAGAAAAAAAAAATGAGTTAGTTGTCTTCATCTATGTGATTCCTAATCTTCTATTCGTTGTTCCCTAGTTTGAAGTGGTTAAGACTAGGGTTCTGATGCATGGTCATTATCGGTGTCATACCATAATTTTGTTACTAAGGAATCCAATTTTGACTGACAAAGGGGCGCGCCTTTGGAGGCCCTCCCCTTGGCTAGTTTTTGCACCTTGCTGTTGGTGGGCGGGCTTAATTTCATGCTTTATAGTGGAGTGTTGGAGACGGTAGGTTTATGGTCGGCGTTGCTGGCTCATGCCGCGATAGAATGACGTCATGGGCAGGCAATGGGATTACTAAGCTTCCCCTCTCTGATAAACCACTGCATGAGAGAACCAAAGATCTAGTCTAGCAGTGATAGTAACACACTTGTTACTCCTTTAATTGAGAGCCGCGTCGTAGTACGCTTACATATAGGCACTGACGTTGGGTGTGATACTGGCGGGTTTTGCCGCAAATCACTCTTATTTTATTTATTTTTACGCAGATAGATTTATTTGGGTTTGCAAGGGAATTATACTATTGAAATATTTCAGAAAGTGCCCAACGGTGCTCCTTCTATTTGCGTGACAAGCTTTCATTGTTGTTTTCATTGAAGTATTACTCAGGAAACAATGTTAAACATCATTTTTGTACATGGTATTGTAACTAATCTTATATGTGCTTCATTTTGATTTGGGATAAGTGTTTGAACTATGGCTCGAGATTTCCACTGTGGTGTGCTTCTATTGTGACATACCCATATGTATTTTTGTGGTGCGACATAGTGGAAACGTGAGAGCTTAATTGGAGCATATACCCTATATAATTTAAAAATCAGCTAGGAAACTAACTTCAAAATGAAGCATTTTAGTCACATGAAGGTGTTACCTGGGTCGAACTAAGATATAATAAATAGGTATAGGTCAAAATCAAAAGTACTTGAAACACGTTTAATTTTAGATTACAAGCACAAGTGCAGGTACTTAATAAAGCATGGGTTATGCTTGATTAGGTGAATTAGAGCTTTTAATAATTTATTAAATTAGACTAATGAGATATCATAATCATCAAATGAACTTAAATAAGAAACTTCAGAAAGTCTAATGACATTAAGTAGATTAACAAAAGAATTAGGATGCGGGGGTCCGCTTAGGGAGGCAACTAACCTTTAAAGTTGTAGAATAAATCTTTTTATTTAGTCTTGAAATTTAAAAAGAAAACGCAGGCAGACCAATAGCATTTAGCAGATTAACAAGGAGAGGAATAGTTTAGGAAATAAGTAAAAGTAGAGGTATGTGACAATTAATAGCTTTTAAACTTTTGGAGGTATTGTATTCCCCTGAGTTTGTTGTACTCGATTACTATATAATTCTCTCAATACGCGAAATCTCTTATATATGCGGTTAAAGCATTTGAGTTAACTTATTTCTTAGTGTTCAAGTACTTACATTTGTAAACAGCAGTCAATGTTAATCTATGAACTAAACCCTACGTAAAATCGATCTTTCCTTATGTGGTATTGATGCATGTTTAACTTTTCGCGGCTGTCGGAATCAACGCGCCTACGTCTACGGAGCTTACGCAGAAGTGATTCGCAATGCGCTAGAGCTCACCAAAAGTTTTTTGAGCTTCTGTAGTATAGAATTTGTTCGGTACGGTCGCGAAATCTTGAAATGATTGATACGTGCGGTAAAATAACTAAATTGAAATAAAGCACAACAGTAAAATAAGTACAATATTTAGGGAGGAAACCAAAATTAATCAACTTGCCAACATAGGCTATCACATTTATTTTGGTGGCACTCTTTAAGTGATAATAAGTTGTTTTTTTTTTCTCTACGGTTGTTTCGCGTGGCGTTCACAATTTGCGCGATTTTCGTATCTTACGTTATTTATGTTTAGCTCTAAACGGTTTTACTGACTCGAGGTCGTTCCTTAAGCGGTGTTGGTACAGGTTAAACTTTTGCCGACTGTCGGAGTTAACGCGCCTACGTCTACGGAGCTTACGCAGAAGTGATACGCAATTCGGTAGAGCTTGTCAAACGCTTTTGAGCTTCTGTAGTATAGAATTTGTTCGGTACGGTCGCGAAATCTTGAAACGATTGATACGTGCGGTAAAATAACTAAATTGAAACAAATCTCAACAGTAAAATAAGTAGAATATTTAGGGAGGAAACCAAAATTAATCAACTTGCCGCCAACATACACACTTAATTCAGATCACCGAAGTCGGTAGGAATTTACCGGGTTTTTGAACAGCAGAAGAACTCGGTAAAATTTTCAAATGAACGTTACACGTGAGAAATCCAGAAAATTTATAAATTTTATTTTTCATCAATAAATGGGGTAAACTGTACAACTTCTGTACAAGTTCGGGATAATTTTTTTTAATAATTGGATTTTTAACTGATTTTTAAACTTTTACCGAACAGTTCTGTAGTTCAAAATTTACCGAACGACGGAGGCCTGGTTTAGTGTGTAGGCTATCACATTTATTTTGGTGGCACTCTTTAAATGATAATAAGCCTTTTTCTCGCTTCGGTTGTCTCGCACGGCTTTCGGAATTCGCGTGGTTTTCGTAACTTACATAATTTAGATATTTTGTCCGAAACGGATTTACTTATTCAATCGGTTTACTACGCGGAGGTATCTACGCGCACACGTCACAGCATTTTTTCTATAACAATCTTGAAACAATACATACGGAATCCAGTGTTCAAGCGGCCAACATAGGCTAGTCCTTCTGCTGATTGTCAAAGATAGAAGCAACATTTATTCAAATGGGTCAAGTCTTGAAAAAAAAAACAAAGGCGCGCGCCTTTGGAGGGTGTTTCAACACTCCGAAGGGTATAAATAGCGGGACCTTTCAATTAGAGTCGGATCCTTGCGATAAATGCAAGAGTGACAACTGTAAAAAAATCGAATACTTCATCATTTCTCAATAGTGATGGAGTAATACGACATGCACTAAACTAATGACACGGGATATACTACAATAGATCAATTTACTGGTCGCAGTAGTGTTAGGTCCCGAACAGAGGAAAAAAATAGTTACAAATTAACTAAAATGTGTTAAGTCACTTTAACACATTATACGTTATTTGTCAGTGACTATAACACAAAAAAAAGAACACACCACGAAACGGAGTCTACCGAGCAGTTTGTTCTGCTGAGAGGCTACAGCACGTTGCAGCTACAAAGAACTACATCAATCTAATAACAGTAGAGAAGATTGCAACATAGAAGCAAAAGGGGGCTGTTCATAATGCACGTAGATACTTTGACAATTGCCTACGCGGTGGGGTGAAATTATAACCTCTCAAAAACCGTCTACGTAGTTTATATCAGCCCCTTTTTCAAATATAAGCAGTTCTTTCAAGTTCTATAGTTTAATCTGTTCAGTCAAAATGTCATTGCGATAGAATTTTCGTTTTGAAGTGTAGAGCATTTTTTCAATGAAATATTCGTTTTACTGAAAATCATAGAACATGTTTTTCAATAGAACTTCACATTATGATGTTGTAACTGTTTTTTTTTTGCAAACGTTCATGAGAATGGTAGAAAAATAGTGTGTTCTTGAAAAGTCCACTAGGTTGGATCCTATAAAAATGCTTATAATTCCCATTCTTACTCATATTTTTTATCTTTACAGAGAACATGATTATCGACATGATTTGCTGGGTGAAGCCATGAAAGCCGGAACTCCATTTGCTCTATGGAATGGACCAACAATAGTCGCATGGTTGGAACTATGGGTTGGTATGCCAGCCTGGTATGTCGCTGCTTGTAGAGCTAATGTTAAGTCAGGAGCAATAATGAGTGCATTAAGTGATACCGAAATCCAGCGCGAAATTGGCATCAGTAATCCTCTACATAGATTGAAGCTAAGATTGGCAATACAAGAAATGGTATGCTTGACATCTCCATCTGCTCCACCTACAACTCGAACAACTTTAGCGTTTGGTACGTTTCTTATATTAATAACAATTATTATTAGTATTAATTTAAGTTATTCAATGAATTTTTTAACGCTTTATTTGTTTTAAATTCAAAACTTTGTTTTAACACTTTAACGCTCTTGAGTCATTCGTGACTTGTTCGGGGGTGAGATTTGAACTCGTGACTTTGGCGTGAGTGGTATGGATGCTAACCACTACGCCGGGGTCACCCCCTAAATTCAAACTATTTGCAGTCATGTTTTAACCTAGGTGCTCCTGTTACAAAAGTAACTCACCAACCTTATTTGGTATATATCTAACTGTGTTTGCATTGTTCTCGTCTTAGCAGTTCTGTATTTCAAACAGGTTTTCTATACCTACGTATCAGTATAACATTTGTCATCTTAAAACTAAAACTAAATCTTATATAATTATAATTCACGAAGGGAATTTTTTGCTGACATAATTAAAATTGTTGATGGACATTTTGTTTTAAATTCTCAAGGAAGCAGTTTTTTTCCTGGTAGTGCAACAATTAGACCACAGTGTCTGTTTTTATCATTTACCGTCACACGGATTGACTGTCCGTTCAACCTAGTGTAGATGAATTGCGTTTGTTTTGAAAATCTTCGTTGTCACGTACGAAGGAAATGAACAAATGAGTCGACGAATATACGTTTGTTGAGATTCATAAACGCTTGAGATTCATCATCGCTTGAGATTCAAATCCAACATTGTCAAAATCGATCAAAGACGATCCTTAAAAGCAAAAAAATCCTTTTTATTTTGGCAAAAATTATTATTTCGAATATTATTGATCCAAGAGCCCAAAACATCGATATTTTCAACAATTCTGCATAAAACAACAATTTTTCATCTGAGTGTAAAAACAACACATTAAATTCTTCAACGTTATATTTGTGAAAATAATCTTTTTGCATTTGATACTCAAAATCATCCATATGAGAATCAATATTGATATTGACAACAATACAGAATGAACAAAAACAAATCTAGATAGAGCAGGAATTAGGGCGAAACAGTTTTTGTAAATAATGACTTCTATCGATAGGAATTCAAGGCACGTCCACGCAGACCAACCTAACCATCGGAGGGGAATTTTTTCCCTACCCGATGAGGATGTTGGTTTGCGTGGGCGAGCCTTAAATTTCTAGAAATCATCAAGAGAAGTCATTGTTTACAAAAGCTGTTAGGCCCTAATTCCAGCTCTATCTAGAAATGTTGACTTCGAAACTCAGCGATTGCCTTGAACAAGCAAATGTTGTCATTTAAAAATTCAAATGCATGCAGGTAGTTGGTACATCTATAAGGACTGCCTTGATTGCCAGCTAATTTGAGTGTAAAAGAAGTAGCAGCACTCTGCTTAGCAGGGCTAAGATATGTCATTTAACTTGCCGGGAAATTGAAACTCCGTTCATAGTGACTATGTGACTACTACTTTCAAAAAGGAAGCTTGGGCTTATGTGGGAATATTATAAGTTGAGTTTTGGAAGCGTTGGGAGAAATTTTCATAAAACAGATTTTTAATATTATACATGCGCTTACAATGTGAAATGTGGTTGATTTTTCTAACAACCCCGGAATATGGGGCAAGTAGGACCACATTTTTCGAAATCTAGTTATGAGCTGGATTCCCGAGCAGAGAATGAAAACAAAAAGAAAACTAGATTTGATATTTTGATATAAGCGTTCATGATAACATATTTTGCCTACCGTGTGGTCGAGTTCACAGTAATCATAACAAAAAAGAGATCTAAATGGTATATGAAGGTTATTAAAAAGATAATAAATCATGTTTTCTTGATAACAAATGCATGTATGCGTTTGGATATTAGTAATTTCATTAATGATAAACAAAATAAGCAATCAAAAATGTGTTATTATAACTATCCCTCCCCTTGACTAGTTTTTGCACCTTGCTGTTGGTGGGCGGGCTTAATTTCATGCTTTATAGTGGAGTGTTGGAGACGGTAGGTTTGGGGCCGGCGTTGCTGGCTCATGCAGCATGATAGAATGACGTCATGGGCAGGCATTGGGGATTACTAAGCTTCCCCTCTCTGATGAACCACTACATGAGAAAACCAAAGATCTAGTCCAGCAGTGATAGTATCACACTTGTTCCTCCTTTGATTGAGAACCGCGTCGTAGTACGCTTACATATAGGCACTGACCTTGGGTGCGATACTGGCTGGTTTTGCGCAAATCACTCTTATTTTTTTTACGCAGATAGATTTATTAGACAATTACACAATTTCTAGGCCCTTATTGTTGAGAACAATCAAGTGCTTTGGAATTTCGGGTTCTGCATACAAATGGTTTGAAAGCTATTTATCTGACAGAAAACAAAGGAGTGTTTTTAATGATTTTGTATCTTGTCCTGTTGACAATGACCTTGGAGTGCCTCAGGGAAGTGTATTAGGGCCCCTTTTATTTATTATGTATATTAATGACATGCGACGAGTTTTACGGTTTTGTGATATTAATCTTTTTGCTGACGATACTGTGTTATTCATTGCAGCTAAAGATTTAGAAGAAGCCGTTTCACGCTTGAATGAAGATTTGCGTTCTCTAAGTAGATGGTTGAAGTATAAACAATTGAAATTGAATATAAGTAAAACTAAATTCATGATAATTTCGCGAAATCGTGTAGATGATGATGTCTCTGTTGTTATTGATGATGAGACAATTGATCGCGTTCAGGAAATTAAATATCTTGGCGTGATTATTGATGACAAACTCAAGTTCAATTCTCATATTGACAATGTCATCAAGAAAATTGCCAAGAAGTATGGAATTCTATGTCGCTTGAAAAACGATTTAAATATTGGTAGTAAAATACAGTTATACAAATCAATCATCTCCCCTCATCTAGACTTTTGCCTTTCCATTTTATTTTTGGCCAATGAAACACAAATATCCAGATAACAGCGTTTGCAGAATAAAGCAATGCGTTTGATTTTAAGATGTAATAGATTCACTAACACTAAAAACGCGGATGAAGTAAGAACACCACATCTTTTGAATAATGCTTCATAAAATTCATTATTTTTCAAAGGTATAAATGTTTTCAATTCGATGCCTAGACACATCAAGCGTGCAACTACACTTACAGAATTTAAGAGACGCTGCATTTCACATGTAAAAGCTGTTTATTGAGCTGTTAAATTTTTATGAATGGATAAATCATGTATCTTGACAAAGTTATCTCTAACGGATTATTTTGTATGGAGACTGTCATAAAGACATTTTAGTAATTTGTGTAGCATATACAAAAAACTACATTGTTTGCCTCGATTTGAGTAGTCTACAATGGTTTGAGCCTCGCGCGCGGAATACAGGTATAAATGACTAATACGTGAAAATTGTGGCAAAAGCCTTGAATTAGTAAAGGGTTGGCTGGAAGTCGTTTCGTTGGATATGGTCCTGGTACTGCGGAAGCTTAAACGTGTAAATCCCAGGTCACGTGTAAATGGAAGTATTGTCGAGGACTATACTTGGACTTTTGATAACTAGTTACACATTTGAATGTTTTTGGTTGATGCCTATAGCATATTTAACAGGACATTTATATCTGTATTTGTAACCAGCTCGATTTTGTTAGCAAACCTGGTTAAAATGTTTATATTTAATAATCTTAAAGATAACTCGTCCAGCTCAATCCTTTGTAGGGGTAAGAGGTGGGACCATCATCATCAACATCATCATCATCATTTGGGTTTGCAAGGGAATTATACTATTGAAATATTTCAGAAAGTGCCCAACGGTGCTCCTTCTATTTGCGTGACAAGCTTTCATTGTTGTTTTCATTGAAGTATTACTCAGGAAACAATGTTAAACATCATTTTTGTACATGGTATTGTAACTAATCTTATATGTGCTTCATTTTGATTTGGGATAAGTGTTTGAACTATGGCTCGAGATTTCCACTGTGGTGTGCTTCTATTGTGACATACCCATACGTATTGTTGTGGTGCGACATAGTGGAAGCTTTTTTTTTCTTTATTAAAGAGATTTTTAGCCTTAGGCTAGTTTATCTCTAACATAGTGGAAGCGTGTGAGCATAGTTGGAGCATATACCCTATATAATTTAAAAATCAGCTAGGAAACTAACTTCAAAGTGAAGCATTTTAGTCACTTGAAGGTGTCACTTGTGTCGAACTAAGATATGATAAATAGGTATAGGCCAAAATCAAAAGTACTTGAAACACGTTTAATTTTAGATTACAAGCACAAGTGCAGGTACTTAATAAAGCTCGGGTTATGATTGATTAGGTGAATTAGAGCTTTTAATAATTTATTAAATTAGACTAATGAGATATCATAATCATCAAATGAACTTAAATAAGAAACTTCAGCAAGTCTAATCACATTAAGTAGATTAACAAAAGAATTAGGATGCGGGGGTCCACTTAGGGAGGTAACTAACCTTTAAAGTTGTAGAATAAATCTTCTTATTTAGTCTTGAACTTTAATAAGAAAACGCAAGCAGACCAATGGCATTAAGCAGATTAACAAGGAGAGGAATAGTTTAGGAAATAAGTAAAAGTAGAGGTATGTGACAATTAATAACTTTTAAACTTTTGGAGGTATTGTATTCCCCTGAGTTTGTTGTACTCGATTACTATATTATTCTCTTAATACACGAAATCTCTTATATATGCGGTTAAAGCATTTGAGTTAACTTATTTCTTAGTGTTCAAGTACTTACATTTGTAAACAGCAGTCAATGTTAATCTATGAACTAAACCCTACGTAAAATCGATCTTTCCTTATGTGGTATTGATGCATGTTTAACTTTTCGCGGCTGTCGGAATCAACGCGCCTACGTCTACGGAGCTTACGCAGAAGTGATTCGCAATGCGCTAGAGCTCACCAAAAGTTTTTTGAGCTTCTGTAGTATAGAATTTGTTCGGTACGGTCGCGAAATCTTGAAATGATTGATACGTGCGGTAAAATAACTAAATTGAAATAAAGCACAACAGTAAAATAAGTACAATATTTAGGGAGGAAACCAAAATTAATCAACTTGCCAACATAGGCTATCACATTTATTTTGGTGGCACTCTTTAAGTGATAATAAGTTGTTTTTTTTTCTCTACGGTTGTTTCGCGTGGCGTTCACAATTTGCGCGATTTTCGTATCTTACGTAATTTAGATGTTTAGCTCTAAACGGTTTTACTGACTCGAGGTCGTTCCTTAAGCGGTGTTGGTACAGGTTAAACTTTTGCCGACTGTCGGAGTTAACGCGCCTACGTCTACGGAGCTTACGCAGAAGTGATACGCAATTCGGTAGAGCGTGTCAAACGCTTTTGAGCTTATGTAGTATAGAATTCGTTCGGTGCGGTCGCGAAATCTTGAAATGATTGATACGTTCTTTAATTTAACTAATTTGATACAAAGCTCAGTAGTAAATAAGTAGAATATCTAGGGGGGAAACCAAAATTTATCAGCTTGCCAACATAGGCCATCACATTGATTTTGGTGGCATTCTTTAAATGATAATAAGCCTTTTTTCTCTCGCTTGGGTTGTCTCGCACGGCTTTCGGAATTCACGCGGTTTTCGTAACTTACATAATTTAGATATTTCGTTCGAAACGGATTTACTTATTCAATCGGTTTACTACGCGGATGTATCTACGCGCACACGTCACAGCATTTTTTTCTATAACTATCTTGAAACAATACATACGGAATCCAGTGTTCAAGCGGCCAACATAGGCTAGTCCTTCTGCTGTATTGTCAAAGATAGAAGCGAAATTTATTCAAATGGGTCAAGTCTTGAAAACTAAGCTGTCACGCAGCTCCAGCTTGATACCCAATAAAAAAAAACTAAAAAAAATATGTTTTATAACTATGGTAGGAAAACAATAAAAAATCTAAATTAGTTATTATTTTATTATCATGATATCAAATTTAGTAATCTAAATGTTTTGAAAGCTATTGGTTTATATCAAGATTCAAAATCAAAAAAATATCAATAAAGTGTTAATGGTGCCCTATTAAAGTACAGAACCTGAAATCATCATCCAGTGGTACAAATTACAAGAAAGTATATAATGAATCGCTTTTGTCATTATAGACTAATAACAGACTCACCTCCAATCAACAACTGGCATTCGCGAATTTGGTACCCGAAGAAAACCCAAAAGTTAAAATATGACGAACGATTGAAGTTTATTAGATCCAATAGCATAGAAATAGAAGACGAGATTTTTTTAAATTTAGAGTTCTCATGGAAAATTCTAGTGGGATTATATTCAATATAGGGCACACGAATAATGTAAAAAATTATGCTACGATGACTCTTATATTATTATGAATGATCAATTCTTTCGCATCGAACATATTTTAACATACATGAATTATGGAATTTATTTTGTTGGGAGAGAACTGATATTTTATTGAGATTTATGACAACATATATTTAAATATGAGTTAAGAAATCGACTAAGCCTACAAAAGTTAGTAACAATATTCGACAATTTATTAGTATAAGTATTAAAAACGAACAGGAAGAAATCAATTTTATATCGAATTGTAGATTCAATTCGTATGTAGATTAATATCAATAAATATTGCGAAATATACCATTTAGATCTCATTTTTTTATGATTACTGTTAACTCGACCACACGGTAGGCAAAATATGTTATCACGAACGCTTATATCAAAATATCAAATTTAGTTTTCATTCTTTGTTTGGGTAGCGATGCACATAGTGGTAGTGTTGGCAAAACTAGCAAAAAAAATGTGTTGGTGTTATAAAATAAAGTTTAAAGAACTTTTTTGATATTCGAGCATTGACAACAAACATTTAAAGCTGAATTAAAGCTTATTCAGCTTATTACGATAACTTAACATAAAGTACAGTTAAGACAAGGGCATGATAAAAGATCAAAAATATAGGAAAACATTCTGGTTCCAAGTAAAATCATATGAAACTGAAATTGAAACAATAGAAGAAAAAAGTTTCTTCTACAACGTGTTGCTTACAGTAAAGCTCTCATTTTGGTGTCAATCAATACAAGAACGGTTCTTATTATCATTGAAATAAAATATTTAATTTTTTTATTTCCAGAAATAAAGGTATACATTTTTCAGAAAAGTTATAGCTCAGCTATTTTCAAGCAACATAATTGGTTTTATCTCTTATGATGCCCTTTTCAAATAGTAATATCTCTGGTTAGGGGCAAGTAGCAGTAGCAAGTAGTATGTTTTGTGGAAGCTGAGAAAATTTCCAACCCGCAAGATTTTCAAGACCAGGCATGACAATCTACTCAATATACGATGCATAAAATGTCAGTTAGTTAAAGAGAAGCAAACCCCGAGTGTAATTTTCAGATCTGCAGGACAGCTGTATGATAAGATTATTGCCCCTGATAATGTGAAGTGGAAGGTAGAAGTACATACTTGTGGCTACTACTCAATTTACCTCAACATCATGTTTATTTATTTGAAATAAGTCAATGCTTCTTTGATAATTTCAGGTGATATGAACCATGAATGGATAGGAAACTACTGGTTACCTGGACTGGGCCTTCCGCAGTACCGAACAACATTTATGGAATGCCTTGTGGATGCCCGAATGCTGGACCATTTGAACAAGAAAGATCTCAGAGGACAGCTCAAAATGGTAGACAGTTTTCATCGAACTAGCCTCCAATATGGGATTTCCTGCCTAAAGCGGTTGAACTACGACAAGAACATCCTCGAAGAAAGGAGAAAAGCGTCAGAAAACACTTCGGATGATGTTTTAGTATGGAGCAATGATAGAGTAATACGTTGGATCCAGTCGATAGGTTTAAAGGTAAGTTTTTTTTATTCTCCTTACAAATAAAAAGGAAAATCGTATGTCTACTATCAAATGCATACCTACATATGCAGAGTGAACTATTTCACTATTTTATTTTATTAGTTTTCATTTCCTTCCTTCGGCTATAGGAGAACGCCGTGCTGAGTGGTACTTTTTACAAGCACTTTGGGGCTTGGGGTTGGTAATCATCCACGGTCCATACAAATTTAATTTATTTGTATGGATAATTGTCTACGTAGGGGGGGGGGGTCAAGACTAAAAAAAACTGTTTACGTAGTTAATGAACAGCCCCTTAGTCGTTTTTTCAACAACAAATTTATTCTAAAATTTCCGAATTTTAACTTGAAAATTGTCGAGGAACAGCGCGTTGAAAGGATGTTGTTGGTGGACATTGCAGAAGTGTGGTTTACATCTCACTGCAGTCTGAAAAATTACCGAAAAAATCCACCCAAGACAAAATCGACTAAGTCCACGTAAACAGTACCACTGAACTGTCATCAGATTGAGGTTAACCCCGACGGTGCAAAACCTAATTGCCGTGCAAGCGGATGAATGAAAACCTCATTTGAGTTTGTTGTCTTGACCAGTAAAGACGTGTTTTATTTACTCTGCTACTTCACGGCTAACAGTTTATGGGCCTGTGGAGTTAGCCATTTTGTTTTGTGAGAAAAGTTAACACGTTTCATCAAGTCGATAAAAAACAAAAGTGCGAGTTATTTTTATTGAATTTGTTCGAACATTTGATTCAATAAAATGGAGCGAACGGGAATCGGGAAGCTTACGAACGATTGTTATGATTCGTGGAAATTGTAAGTCGATTTTATGTTAATGAGAGAAGGACGTTGGAAGTACGTTTCGCCGGGAGCGGCTGCGGAAGGTGCAAATGCGGCGGTGCTGGTTGCCGCGCGTAACGATCGGTCTGTTGCTATCAAGAAGTCAACACTGGCACATTCGGAATACGAATTCCGCGAAGGCAGTGTGGGACAATTTGGAGCGGCAGCACCAGAGAAGACGCTGACGACCAAAGTGCATATGCTCAAACGGATCTGCGATAGGAACTACCACGATGATGACAACATCGAAGAGCACCTGATGGAGTTTGAGGATTTGTTCGAGAAGCTGGCTAACGCTAGTACAAAGCTAGACGAGGACCTTCAGGTGGTTCTAGTGTTTCGAAATTTGCCAAATTCATTCGACGCTCTAATGATGACGGACGATAAGAAGAAGAGTGTTGTGTGCTTTTATTGTGAAAAGCCCGGACATATGAGGAGAGACTGTACACTGTGGAAGCGGCAGAAGAACGAAGGTGGTGCCAGCAGTTCTGAAAGGGGTGAAAACAAAGAGAAGAAGGTTTCAAAGCAGCAAGCGAAGGCTAAAGTCGCGAAGTCCGAAGTGCAAGGATTCGTATTTGGTGCCGGTGAAAGTGCGGTCAAGGACTGGATTGTCGATTCCGGTGCGATTTCGCACATGTGTGCAAATCGCAAGTTCTTTGTGTCGCTAATTGAACCGCGAGCAGATACGCCAAAATCGGTGACGGTTGCCGATGGCAAGCGAGCAGCGGTGAAAGGTGTCGGATCGTGCATGATTTGTTGCTACGGTGAAGATGGTGACGAAATTTCGCTCAGTGAAGTGCTATTTGTTCCTGAACTCGATATGAATCTCGTGTTGGTTGGCAGGCTGGTGCAGAAAGGAGTAGGGGAAACGCTCCTATAGTTGCGGTACGTTAGAAGCGTTAGGTTCCTATAGTTGTGTATGGAGTCTCCATACACAACTATAGGAACCTAACGCTTCTAACGTACCGCAACTATAGGAGCGTTTACCCTACGAGTCATTTTCGACCAGAAGGGTTGCACGATTGTGAGTGGGGACCGAGTTGTTGCTGTTGCGCTGAGGAGCAAGGGTCTCCATCATCTTCCAATGGTGGAACGAGCGAATGTGGCATCGGATCAGTGTCACAAGAAGGGTTGCATCCATGAGTGGCACAGGAAATTGGGACATCGTGATGCTCAAGCTATCCTGGATCTCGAGCGGAAGGAATTGGCAACTGGTATTAAGGTAAATAGCTGCTCTATTAATACTACCTGTTAACCTTGCTCGCAAGGGAAGATGGCTTGGCTGCCATTTTCCAAGGAAGCGAAGCGGAAGTCGAAGGCGATTTTGGACCTGGTACACAGTGATTTGTGTGGACCGATGAATACGGTCGGCGTGAGTATAGTGTAGTGTAGTCATCGATCAAGGTCAACAAATATCGCCGCCACCGACGCCCGGTGTTTTGTTTTTGACCTTGATCGATGACTACAGCCGTTATACCACTCTGTATTTCTTGTCCAAGAAGTCGGAGACGGTGGATGCTATCCGAGATTTCGTGCGCAGTATGAAAACGCAATTCGGTAGGCCGCCAAAGATAATCAGGTCTGATCAAGGAATAGAGTACCGTAACGCGGAGATGGAACGTTTTATGAAACAGAAAGGTATGACAGCAGCAATTAACGACATCATACACGCCACAGCAGAATGGAGTCGCTGAGTTTAAGAACCGTTCGCTGGTAGAGATGGCGCGGTGTGTGGTCATATAATCTAGATTACACTATCGGTACTGGGCCTAGGCGGTCAGTACGGCCAACTGCTTGCAGAACATGTTGCCTACGAAGCCGGTACAGGAGACGCCTTTCGAGATTTGGTGTGGTTCGAAGCCGGACATGAGCTTGCTCCAGGTGTTCGGTACAGAGGCGTACGTTTTCATCTCGAAGGAGAAACGAACGAAGTTGCAGCCGAAGGCAACGAAAATGCCTTTCGTTGGATACTCCCAGCAGCATAAAGCGTGGCGTTTTATTGACTTGAAGACTCACATAATTGTTTTCAGTCGAGACGCTCGTTTCTTGAAGTCGGATGAGAATGTCCAGGATATCATCGAGGACGAATTGCTTCAGTTACCACCGTTGTCAGTAAGGCCGAATAGCGGTGAGGGACTGGAAGAGTCGGATGATTCCGATACTGAATACGAAGTGTCTGGTGAAGAATCGGATGAAGACAGTGACGAATATTTTCGTGCCTTTGAAGAAGAATCTTGCGAAGAAACGATACGTGGTCTTGAAGATCGGAGTCTCTACGAAGATGCTAATGGTAGTGAAGTGTTCCGCCAGGATGATGAATCTATTTCTGTCCAGGAGGAGTCGGCTCGCTTCTAGGAGGAGCAACTCGTAGAAACACCTCGTCGTTCTGGAAGGTTAACCAAAGGTGTTCCACCTGAGTGTTACTTGGCAGATGGCAAGATGGTTCAGTGTCGACAGGAAGAACCTCGCAGTTATCAAGAAGCAGTAAATGGTCTTGAATGTGACCGTTGGAAGGTTGTCATGGATGATGAACTGAAGTCTCTGAGCGAGAATGGAGTCTGGGAGTTGACAACATTGCCATCAGGAAGCAAAGTAATCGGATGCCATTGGATCTACAAGAAGAAACAGGATGAGCAAGGTGAAATCATTTGGTATAAAGCAAGGTTAGTTGCACACGGTTTTACTCAGCGGTATGGTCTTGACCTCGGTCTTGACTACGACAAAGTTTTTGCTCCGGTCGCAAAACAGGTGACGCTTTGTACACTTCTGACTGTCGCTGGACATGACGGAATGCAGGTTAGGCACGTTGACGTGAAGACTGCATATTTGAATGGTGATCTGGAGGAGACTATTTACATGCGAGTACCACCCGGACTGCGCGTTGGAAGTAACACAGTTTGTCGGTTGCGTAAGAGTCTATATGGGTTGAGGCAATCAGCCAGAGTTTGGAACCAAAAGCTGAATGATGTTCTGAAGCGACTTGGATTCAAACAGGTGGACGCTGACCCGTGTCTGTACGTACGGAAAAGGAACGGCAGCACAGTGTACATCCTGGTGTACGTAGATGATATGTTGATCGTTACATCCAACAACGAAGAATACGATGGAGTTGTGAAAGCCTTGGAGAACAAGTTCCAGATCACAAAAATTTGTGACGTGAAGTATTTTTTGGATATAAGAGTGACAAAGCATGTCACGCCTACTGCTTGGATCAAAATTCTTACATCGTCAAGTTGGTTGCGCAGTTTGGACTTGCGGAAGCTAAGGGATCACGGATTCCAATGGACGTCGGATATTTACTGCAAAAGGAGGAGAATGAGAGACTTCCGAACAATGAGAAGTTTCAGAGTCTCGTCGGAGGTTTGCTGTATCTATCGGTGAATACTCGGCCGGATATTGCTATCAGTACATCAATTCTTGGAAGGCAGGTTAGCAAACCAACGAATGCGGATTGGACGGAAGCAAAAAGGGTGTTGCGATACCTGAAAGCGACAAGTGATTTGAAGCTGAGACTGGGTTCCAGTAATGAAAAACTTCAAGGGTATCTTCTTCTTCTTCTTCGCATTTCAAGCTTATTGCATATCGCATAGGGGGAGAGGTAGCTCATCGATTCTTCCGGTTCGCCTCCTAGCATCGTGCTATAATGTACCAGGCGATAACCAGGGTAGTTGATCGATAGCTCGATGACGTCATTTCGTTAACGATGGGACGTTGTCGAGTTGTTGAATAGCAATTATCGTGGTAACTCACCGATTACCTGTCGATCTGCCAAATTTGGAAAGACGTCTGCATTGAATTGTCTCATATAATAATATTCCGCCCACTATATCACAAGAAATTGCGAGTAGCTGAGTGGAATGGAGATAAGTTAAGCATTGGGTACAGGACCAAGTCTCCCCTGGGTGGTGCCAAAAGATGAGCACAATAGAATCATCAAGTTGCCATAAGGCACGGAATGAGACTATTGCATGGCTGGGTAGTCAAAGTCTTCCATTCGTTAGTCATTTCAGGTGGATTAGAACAGGTTTAGGTTTAGGGTGGGCGTTGGCCAGATTTGGATTTTTCAGATGTAATCCTGGATAGGACCCTGTCATTGAACGTCGCGTGAAAGTGGAACTTAATGAAGGCCTAAGTACTTTTTCGTAGTTTTTAGTTTTCGGA